TGTATCATGGTGATATCTACTGTATCATGGTGATATCTACTGTATCATGGTGATATCTACTGTATCATGGTGATATGTGCTGTATCATGGTGATATCTACTGCATCATGGTGATATCTACTGTATCATGGTGATATCTACTGTATCGTGGTGATATCTACTGTATCGTGGTGATATCTACTGTATCGTGGTGATATCTACTGTATCATGGTGATATCTACTGTATCATGGTGATGTCTACTGTATCGTGGTGATATTTACTGTATCGTGGTGATATTAATCCTATGGTGGTGATATCTACTGTATCGTGGTGATATCTACTGTATCGTGGTGATATCTACTGTATCTTGGTGATATCTACTGTATCGTGGTGATATCTATCATATCGTGGTGATATATACTGTATCATGGTGATATCTACTTAATCGTGGTGATATCTACTGTATCATGGTGATATCTACTGTGTCGTGGTGATATCTACTGTATCGTGGTGATATCTATCATATCGTGGTGATATCTATGTGTGATATCTATATCTGTATCATGGTGATATTATATCATGGTATCATGGTGATATGTACTGTATCGTGGTGATATCTACTTATCTTGGTGATATCTACTGTATCGTGGTGATATATACTGTATCATGGTGATATCTACTTAATCGTGGTGATATCTACTGTATCATGGTGATATCTACTGTGTCGTGGTGATATCTACTGTATCGTGGTGATATCTATACTATAATTGTGATATCTACTGTATCGTGGTGATATCTACTGTATCATGGTGATATCTACTGTATCATGGTGATATCTACATGTATTGTGGTGATATCTACTGTATCGTGGTTATATCTATACTATCATGGTGATATCTACTGTATCGTGGTGATATCTATTGTATCATGGTGATATCTACTGTAACATGGTGATATCTACTGTATCGTGGTGATATCTATCCTATCGCGGTGATATCTACTGTATCGTGGTGATATCTATCCTATCGTGGTGATATATACTGTATCATGGTGATATCTACTTAATCGTGGTGATATCTACTGTATCATGGTGATATCTACTGTGTCGTGGTGATATCTACCATGGTGATATCTACTATCATGTGTGATATCTACTGTATCGTGGTGATATCTACTGTATCGTGGTGATATCTACTGTATCGTGGTGATATCTACTGTATCGTGGTGATATCTACTGTATCGTGGTGATATCTACTGTATCGTGGTGATATCTACTTAATCGTGGTGATATCTACTGTATCATGTTGATATCTACTGTATCTTGGTGATATCTACTGTATCGTGGTGATATCTACTATATCATGGGGATGTCTACTGTATCGTAGTGATATCTACTGTATCATGGTGATATCTATACTATCATGGTGATATCTACTGTATCATGGTGATATCTACTGTATCATGGTGATATCTACTGTATCGTGGTGATATCTACTGTATCATGGTGATATCTACTGTATCGTGGTGATATCTACTGTATCGTGGTGATATCTACTGTATCATGGTGATATCTACTGTATCGTGGTGATATCTACAGTATCATGGTGATATCTATAATATCATGGTGATATCTACTGTATCATGGTGATATCTACTGTATCGTGGTGATATCTACTGTATTGTGGTGATATTAATCCTATCGTGGTGATATCTATCCTATCATGGTGATATCTACTGTATCGTGGTGATATCTTCTGTATCATGGTGATAACTATCCTATCGTGGTGATATCTACTGTATCGTGGTGATATCTACTGTATCATGGTGATATCTACTTAATCGTGGTGATATCTACTGTATCATGGTGATATCTACTGTATCATGGTGATATCTAGTGTATCGTGGTGATATCTACTGTGTCGATACCTACTGTATCATGGTGATATCTACTGTGTCGTGTTGATATCTAATGTGTCGTGTTGATATCTACTGTATCATGGTGATATCTATCCTATCGTAGTGATATCTATACTGTTTTGGTGATATCTACTGTGTCGTGGTGATATCTACTGTATCGTGGTGATATCTACTGTATCATAGTGATATCTACTGTATCGTGGTGATATCTACTGTATCATGGTGATATCTTCTGTATCGTGGTGATATCTACTGTATCATGGTGATATCTACTGAATCGTGGTGATATCTATCCTATCGTGGTGATATCTATACTATTATGGTGATATCTACTGTATCGTGGTGATATCTACTCATGTGATATCTACTGTATCGGGTGATATCTATCATGGTGATATCTACTATCTGATATCTACTGTATCGTGGTGATATCTACTGTATCATGTTGATATCTACTGTATCTTGGTGATATCTACTGTATCGTGGTGATATCTACTATATCATGGGGATGTCTACTGTATCGTAGTGATATCTACTGTATCATGGTGATATCTATACTATCATGGTGATATCTACTGTATCGGTGATACTACTGTATCGTGGTGATATCTACTGTATATTTAGTGGTGATATCTACTGTATCATGGTGATATCTACTGTATCATGGTGATATCTAGTGTATCGTGGTGATATCTACTGTGTCGTGGTTATCTACTGTATCGTGGTGATATATATACTATAATGGTGATATCTACTGTATCGTGGTGATATCTACTGTATCATGGTGATATCTTCTGTATCATGGTGATATCTATACTAACTTGGTGATATCTACTGTATCATGGTGATACCTACTGTATCATGGTGATATCTACTGCATGGTGATATCTACTGTATCATGGTGATATCTACTGTATCATGGTGATATCTACTGTATCATGGTGATATCTACAGTATCATGGTGACATCTGCTGTATCGTGGTGATATCTACTGTATCGTGGTGATATCTACTGTATCATGGTGATATCTACAGTATCATGGTGATATCTACAGTATCGTGATGATATCTACTGTATCATGGTGATATCTACTGTATCGTGGTGATATCTACTGTATCGTGGTGATATCTACTGTATCGTGGTGATATCTACTGTATCGTGGTGATATCTACAGTATCATGGTGATATCTTTACTATCATGGTGATATCTACTGTATCGTGCTGATATTAATCCTATGGTGGTGATATCTACTGTATCGTGGTAATATCTATCCTATCATGGTGATATCTACTGTATCATGGTGATATCTACTGTATCGTGGTGATATCTACTGTATCGTGGTGATGTCTACTGTATCGTGGTGATATCTAGTGTATCATGGTGATATCTACAGTATCATGGTGATATCTACTGTATCGTGGTGATATCTACTGTATCATGGTGATATCTACTGTGGTGATATCTACTGTATCATGGTGATATCTACTGTGTCGTGGTGATATCTACTGTATCGTGGTGATATCTATACTATAATGGTGATATCTACTGTATCGTGGTGATATCTACTGTATCATGGTGATATCTTCTGTATCATGGTGATATCTACTGTATCGTGGTGATATCTATACTATCATGGTGATGTCTACTGTATCGTGGTGATATCTACTTATCGTGGTGATATCTACTGTAACATGGCGATATCTACTGTATCGTGGTGATATCTTTTGTATCGTTGTGATATCTACTGTATCGTGGTGATATCTACTGTATCATGGTGATATCTACTGTATCGTGGTGATATCTACTGTATCGTGGTGATATCTACTGTATCGTGGTGATATCTACTGTATCGTGGTGATATCTACTGTATCGTGGTGATATCTACTTAATCGTGGTGATATGTACTGTATCATGGTGATATCTGCGGTATCATGATGATATCTACTGTATCGTGGTGATATCTACTGTATCGTGGTGATATCTACTGTATCATGGTGATACCTACTGTATCATGGTGATATCTACTGTGTCGTGTTGATATCTAATGTGTCGTGTTGATATCTACTGTATCATGGTGATATCTATCCTATCGTCGTGATATCTACTGTATCGTGGTGATATCTATCATATCGTGGTGATATATACTGTATCATGGTGATATCTACTGTATCGTGGTGATATCTATACTAACTTGGTGATATCTACTGTATCATGGTGATACCTACGGTATCATGGTGATATCTACTGTTTCGTGTTGATATCTACTGTATCATGGTGATATCTATCCTATCGTAGTGATATCTATACTATTATGGTGATATCTACAGTATCATGGTGATATCTACTGTATCGTGGTGATATCTACTGTATCGTGGTGATATCTACTGTATCGTGGTGATATCTACTGGTGGTGATATCTATGTATCGTGGTGATATCTATCTACTATCATGGTGATATCTACTGTATCGTGGTGATATCTTCTGTATCATGGTGATAACTATCCTATCGTGGTGATATCTACTGTATCGTGGTGATATCTACTGTATCGTGGTGATATCTACTGTATCGTGGTGATATCTACTGTATCGTGGTGATATCTACTGTATCGTGGTGATATCTACTGTATCGTGGTGATATCTACTGTATCGTGGTGATATCTACTGTATCGTGGTGATATCTACTGTATCGTAGTGATATCTACTGTATCATGGTGATATCTATACTATCATGGTGATACCTACTGTATCATGGTGATATATACTGTGTCGTGTTGATATCTACTGTGTCGTGTTGATATCTACTGTATCATGGTGATATCTACTGTATCATGGTGATATCTATCCTATCGTGGTGATATCTACTGTATCTTGGTGATATCTACTGTATCGTGGTGATATCTATACTATATTTGTGATATATAAAGTATCTTGTAGATATCTAAGGAATCTTGTATAAATGAACTGTATCGTGGTGATATATATGTATCGTGGTGATATCTACTGTAACATGGTGATATATATGTTTGTGATGACTTCAGGAATATACTGACTCATTATATTACAGCAGTGTTGTGACAACTTGTTTGGATGATTGGCCAGTACGATGGCAGATGAAGGAGACAACTCCTCCTCATCTGACAGTGGAGATGATCCTTTGATAGACGTGAGAGGGCGTCAAGGTCCTGTCACCGAAAGTAGCGTCAATGAATCTTTCCTATCTACATTTGATATTTCTATGTGTGTGTGTGTGTGGTGTGTTGTTTGGATGTTGGCCAGTGACGATGATGTTTGTGACGTGTGTGTGTGTGGTGTGTGTCACCGTGTGTGTAATGAATGATTTGAATTCTATGTGTGCTGTGTGTGTGTGTGGCCTATGATGAGCTCTCTGCAGAATCAAAGTAAATAAAATAGGTTTTCTTATTATGTAAGTTCTAGAATATCTGTAATGTCTATTCATATATAGATAATTGAAAACAAATATGTGTGTGTGTGTGTGTGTGTGTGTGTGTGTGTGTGTGTGTGTGTGTGTGTGTGTGTGTGTCTTTTATATATATATATATATATATGTGTGTGTGTGTGTGTGTGTGTGTGTGTGTGTGTGTGTGTGTGTGTGTGTGTGTGTGTGTGTGTGTGTGTGTGTGTGTGTGTGTGTGTGTGTGTGTGTGTGTGTGTGTGTGTGTGTGTGTGTGTGTGTGTGTGTGTGTGTGTGTGTGTGTGTGTGTGTGTGTGTGTGTGTGTGTGTGTGTGTGTGTGTGTGTGTGTGTGTGTGTGTGTGTGTGTGTGTGTGTGTGTGTGTGTGTGTGTGTGTGTGTGTGTGTGTGTGTGTGTGTGTGTGTGTGTGTGTGTGTGTGTGTGTGTGTGTGTGTGTGTGTGTGTGTGTGTGTGTGTGTGTGTGTGTGTGTGTGTGTGTGTGTGTGTGTGTGTGTGTGTGTGTTAAATCTGTCTTCTTGAAATATGATACAGGTTGGCCACATACAGCCTTTAAAATTCAAAACAGGCAGTTTGGGCAAACTGTCAAAATTTGTCTTCATTAATAATATTTTTGTGTCAAAGCGTTCAAGGAGAACTATTTACCTTACATTGTTTAATATCGTCAATTTTAGAAATTTGCTCTCCGTGGTGGCAATTCGTGACTGTAAATTTGCGTTAAATTGATCAAATTGTGCCACCTTTTAGGAAGTGTTTACTTCATATTTTCAATGGTAATTATCAGTGTAGTTCAATAATGTTGATCCTAAGTAAAAAAAAACTCTAGACCAACTGCTAAAGTTACAGGTACATGATGTTTATCTTTTCAAAAGCCATAGAAAAGTCAACTAGTGGGGATAAATCCCAAAGTGGTTATACCTGAAAAGTATCTTTTATAATTTTTTCCACATTGTCAGCATGCTATATCATTGAGTAAAATTAAGTGAGTTTGAAAATATATTTACCTTTCTTAATACGTATGTTATATTTACTTTTTTGTCATTACGAAAATTCAGCGAAGAAAGCAGAGAGGGGCAACCACAGCAAAACATCACCAGGTTTGTTTTTACTTTTTCTTGCTTCAATGGTTTAGAACAATCTTTGATATCAACTTTTAAAAAAATGTCTCTGCTTTTTGGGATTTTTTTTGTGATTTACGTTTGAATATACGATATGAAAATTGTTTTACTGATGACATGTAGAATTAATCAATTAATGAAAGGATTCCAAAAGCAAATACAAATATAGAAGGGTGCATGTCTATAACGATATTGATCCTCTTAACATATTACTGTGGGGCGTAGTTTTTGTGAGTTTTTGTTTTTTTACTTTTTTGTGGGAAATTGATTTCGTGGATACCTCAATAAATCTGCTGATACTTGAAGTTCTTGGACACATGAATTTGTTAAGAGTACCCACGAAATGAATGAAATAAACCCTCCATGAAAATTAATGAGTTCACAGTTCTAACCTCAAGATTACCTTTGATCCAGTGACGAAAATGACAAAAAATTGGGTAACACCTTAGCTGCCGAGAAGGAGAACATGGACGAAGAGGAAGATGAAGAGGAAGATGAGGAGGAAGATGAAAAGGAAGCTGAGGAGGGAGACGAGGAGGGAGAAACAGATGAGAAAGCAAAACAGTGGCAACCGAAAGGAAATGGTGCAAATGACGAAGAAAATTTTTTAAATAATAAAGAGGATGTTTCTTCTGAATTGACCACCATTGCAAAAGTAGAAACTGTTAAAAGTTTAATCTCACCTCAGGCGCCCATTGCGCAAATCTCCGAGAAGCCTTCACCTTTGTATCTGGGACAGCAGGCTGTGAATTGTGCTAAACTGAATCGTTTGTCAGTGACTACGTGTCAGGAGGTGATGCGTGAGGTTCTGAAAAGCAAGAATCCTAAGGGCCGAGAAGACAGTCATTTACGGCTCTTATTGAAACAATGGAAAGGAACACTTGCGAAGAAGAATCGTTCAAAGAATAAAATCAGTTCTCAGGAAAAACAGACTTTGTTCAGCGACACTGTCACCTATGAAAAACTAGATATGACTTTGATGTACCAGATAGCTAGGAATCTGTTACATAAGGAAATCGCATCACCAAGAACGACATGGAATACATCCCCACCTGATTTTGACATCAGCCTCCAGGCATGTGTTGAAAAACTTAAAGACTTTCGTAATTATTGTTCTCACTTAAAAGATGACAAGGTGACCGACGAATTTGTTCGAAATCGTTTTCAGCATATCAGAGATGTTATAGTACACATAGAGAAATACATAGGTATTGAGCCCCAGTACAGTCTCCAAGTTGACTACATCAAGGATGCTCAGTTATCCCCAGATGTCGCCGAGCTGCAAGCCAAACTGATAAAACTTGGTAAGTCATATGATATAAAATATCCCAATTGCTTCACGTGACCTAGGTCTCATAAAAACATTATTTGCAAACAAAGACCTTGATTGTATTTTGAATCATATCGGATACTTTATATTTTTCAGCATTCACAAGAATGTAAAAAAGTACAATGGAAAAAAGGTTTCTTGTAATTTGACAATGAGAATGAGTGAGACTGGTTCAAGACTGATTTGAAAAATACATCCCTTAAAGTGCAAGCTATTGGTAAAAGTGTGAACATCTGTAGCATTCGAAAACAGCATTTGTAGTTTTTGTATAGATGTTTGTGATGAAGTAAATGCTGAATATGAGTAAATGTTTTGCAGATGTTAATAAAAAGTTTTAACAGTTATTGAAGTACAACAAATATTGCTCAAATTTTGTCTCCCATCCACAGAGTCTGAAAAGGATACAATGAAGTGTGTTGGAACTGCAGAAATGGAAACAGTTCGCAAAGATTTGGAAGAATGTCTTAAAAGTTAGTATTTAAATTTCACAAATTACCCACATTGATCTTGTTGTAGCTATTTCTGTGCATTCATATGTCAGTGTCATCGACATCATAATAAACAAGTAATGTTGTGATATATGTTGCCTGGTAGGATTGGAGTTCAGTGGTTATATATATGATGAACAGAATCTTGTATTTGTTTAAGAAGTTGAAGCAATTTAATGTGCCTGTCAGCAGTATGTTTGTTTAGCGAAATCTCCATAAATTTGTTACAGTCGCAATTTACAATACGTAAACTCCATTTCAGGAACATTGGCATAAACCAAATGTTATAATATCAGAATTAATTTGAGCAAAATGCTTCTATATAGAAAAATAAAGTCACATATCTACTATGTATTCAGATAACTCATATACTCTGTGAAAGTGCACACTTAACTAAACACAATTATTTTTCAAATGATTTTTGAAAAAAAATTAGGAGTTTGAGAAATGCAGAAATCAGTTTTATTCCTAATTCTCAGTATCAAAGTGAAATGATAACGCCAAAAAAAATACCATTGAAATATTTAAGATATTTTGACGAAATTTGCAACAGAACAACACCACCCTGAGCGACCTCATCGTGAACTGAACCAAACACATATATATTTTTTGGAAGTTTAAATACTTACTGCCTGATAGACATATATGTATATACATATATAGCATAGTGTACCACACATATTTGTACAATCAATTGTCTTTTTATGACATTTCAATTGTAAATGACAATGTTTTGAACAAAACGCCTGAAATCCATTACTACGTATGAAATATGGCAACTTCCATCGTTTTTTATTTTTTTTATTTTTTTGTTTTTGTTTTTTTTCCCCCATTTTCTTTCCGAGAAAAATATTGACTGAATGAGGATTCATATCTATTTAAAACATTTAAAACATTGTTTCATTTTAGAGTATTGCTCTGCGTTGGAGATGTTCACTGTAAACGTGAACGGTCAAAATGGTAAGATACTCGTCTATATTTGTCAGAAATCATGAAATATTATCAATATATTACCGGCATTTTCAAAATTTACAGCCAGAACTCATCAAATTTACGAAAATAATAAATCTATGTGTTACCGATACAAATGGCATAATTAAAAAAAGCATTTTTTCATGGGGCTCAAATTTCGTGGTTTTCCAAAAAGCTTAATTTTCCTTGGCACTTGATTTCGTGGATAAATCTTTATCATAAACATCTCTAGTACTATAATCTTTTGTCTAGTCATGTGTATTTATTTATTTAGAGACCTTCTAAATCCTCGAAAATGAATCACCCACAAAAATTAATGATTTTACGTTAATAATTATCGGTTATTTATGTATGTTAAACAGGTCTAGTCATTTCAAACAAGATTTATTTTTTCCAAATAAAATCATCTTGACTTGCTCAATTTTAGCACTTCACTGTAAACTTTCACTTTGTCTTAAAATTTCAGCTCAAACTAGAAAATGCATCGAAAACCACGAAAGCAGTGACCGATTTTATGCAGAGACAAGAATTTCAAAAGAGGCGATGCATATACTGCAATCTGAACACTGCGTTGTCATCACAGGTAATAAAGGATCCGGGAAAACCGCCTTGGCATATCATCTGTTGTTCCAGTTAATGCCTTTGGGTAGATGTAAAGTTCAGGTACTTCAAAGCTTAACTGATAGAATAGATGTAGATGGTTTTGTTATTGCTTTTATTGAACTAAATGAAATTGAAGAGAAAAAGAGATCAAGATTAGAATTCATCGTGAAAGAGTTGATAAGACCAGATGTTGACTTAAGTCTGTATGTGATTATAACTTCAAAGTCAGATAACTTGGATGAAATTTTAGATTTCATAACGCCAGTTCACTTGTCTTCTTCGCCTTTAAATGAAGATGAAAAAAGGTCAATTCTTGAAAACCAGTTAAATCAGGTTGTTAAGAAAACAGAAGTTCCTTTATCGCCTCAACCATCCCCACAGGAAGTGACAGAAATCGTAAAAGAATCGAATGTCCCGATAGCATTTCCATTGGCTGCATATTTGTATGCTCAAAATGAAAAATATCGTAGACTTGGTTCCAGTTTTTTTCGATCCCCGGTGGATTATTATCTTTCGGAAATAGTCTCCTTTTGTAGAGCAAAAGCAACATTTGTACTTCTTCTAGAGCTGTTGTTCCAAGAAAGGATAAGTGGCTTGAACATCGATGATATTCAAGCTTGGATCAAAGATCCTGAGTTAGTTGTTGATAAACTATCCATGAAAAATGCCCGTAAACGAATCAATGGACATTTAGTTTTGCCATCCAACCAACCCCTTGACTTTCAGATTCGGAACAAATGCATTGAGAAAGCTTTCTGTATTTATCTCATAAAAGAACACTTGCCAAAGTCCATCAAATGCCTCGACCTAGAATATGTCGTTGACCCATGCATTCTGAGTTGTAGAGCAGAAAATACAGGGAAATGTGTTCAAATGCTTTCTGAGGACATTGATAAAGAATTGTTGGCAAATAGGTTTCTTACAGAAATTTTGAGCGACAACACAACACACCTCAGCAAGAGTGATGCATGGTTAGACTGCATGTTCATAGAAATGTTCATGGAAGTATTCGAAATACATATCAGAAATTGTGACGAGGAAAGAGCGCAATCAGAATGTATGGAAAAAATGTTCCATTGGGCTGTTTCATACAGATGCCTGCCGCTTTGCAAGAGCCTGAGAAAATATATTGATAACACATTTGTATTCGACCAGCATTTTACAGACAAAATGATGAAAGAACTCATGCTAAATGCATGCTCTGTTTGCCCAAATACACTTTGTATAGCTGACAGAGGTGTGACCAAAATAGAACTCCTCCGATTTTTCGTAGATCACGGAGTATCCTGCGACTTTTGGGAACCGATTGTTGGAAGCGGTGACGACGAAAGCTTGCGTTACCTTCTGAGAACGAAAGCCATGGATGAAAAACTGGACTGGGGATTTTGGGAACTACTTTCTACTGCAGCAGCAGAAGGCGATACACTTCTGTGCAGCTGTAAATTTATCAAATTGATAAACCAGAGAGGGGATGGAGTGAGAGATACCGAAAACGATGGGATAGTTGCATTTGCTGAAAGAGTCAAGTCTTTAAAAGACGACAGTTTATTGAATAAAAACATTTTCTTTTCAGCTGCATCGAGACTATTGGATTAAATCAATCTCTTATGAAAGCAATGCAAGAACACAATTTTCCAATACTTGACACCAATGACAAGGGGTACAATAGCTTACACATTGCTGTTAGTAGCATGTTACCACAAACACAGTTATTGGCCACCATAACGGTTCTGTCCTTGGCTGAGTTAGACTTACAACACAAAGTGAACCAGGATTGCGAAACACCATTAATGATAGCAGCAACACGTGAAGACTTCGACGTCAGGTGTATCGCTGAACTTCTTAGACAGACTGCGGATCCAAACTACGCTTCATCTAAGGATGGGTACACAGCGTTACATAAGTGCATATTGTCACCTCTTGATGACAGAATTGTGTCAGCAAGAGTTTCTACAATGATAGACTACAAAGCAGATGTCAACAAACGGTCATTATCAGGTCTTTCACCAATCAGCCTCGCAATTTCCAAGGGAACATCAAGATTAAAAACACTGGGATCACTTGTGAAAGGAAGACCTTCACACATGCCTGCTACTCAATATACATTACATTATTGTATTCAGCTGCACTTGAAAGAAGACGAAAAGATAGAAGTTCTTCAAACATTAATCACCGAAGGTGTTAATGTGAATGAAAAAGATGACCAAGATCAAACACCAATCATGCTGGCTATGCAGATAGAAAATGAAAAAAATGCACTAGTCCGATGGCTTCTAGATCACAATGCTGATGTAAAGGCTACAGACCACGAAGGATTGTCTCCCTTACACCATTGTTGTAAAGCAGCACATACAGCAAAAGATGCGATGAAAATTGCCAAATTGATAATGCATTACATGGAAACACATGATGAAGAGAGGAAAGATCGTTCTTTCTTTGAAACACCTGACACAAAAAAGAAAACGCCATTGATGCATGCGATCAACAACAAGAAACATTTGACATCTGACCTTGTACTTTTCTTGATTGACATGGTTGCTGAGGTCAATGCTGTTGACTCAGGAGGTAATACAGTGATGCACTTGTTGATGGAGTCACATTTTGAAGACGAAATCGTAGAAGAAATATTGGAGAGACTCATGGATAAAAACGCTGATCCATTTATACAGAATTATAAAAATATGACCTCTCTTATGTGCGGCGTCTGTTCTCCTATGAGGCGCGTGAAATCTCTTTCGTGGATCCTCAATAGAACGCCACTGGAAGTCTATAAGCCTCACACAGACTTGCGTGGTAAAAATCTACTTCATCTCTGTGTTGAGGCTACAGCTATCAGCGACGACGATGTTAGCGTGTTATGTTGTCAAGCAATCAAGTGCGGAGAATCCATTCTTGAAAGATCAAAAGAAAGTAAAAGTGCACTTGAGATAGCTGTGGTTTCCAAATCAACACGAATTCAAACTATTTGTTGCATGTTGAAATTTTCTGGAATGAGGTTGACCTGCGCGATATATGATATGTTTAAAAAGGCAAACAAATTTTCATACGAATTTCTACAACTGTTATTTAAATACGAAGTAGAGTTAGATGAAGAGTGCAAAGAAACTAGATTCCCATATCATGACATTATAGATGATTCCCAATCAGAAATTGATGAAACAATAATACAGCCTCTTGTTAGGATGGGATTTGACATCAATAAAACCAATTCTCGGGGAGACAGTGCCTTCATGGCAGCTTGCAGGTCATGTTGTGGACGTGCTGTTCTTTTGGCACTGGGTATTGAAAGTGACCTTAACAGACTTACTGGTGAAAATGAAACGTACCTCCATCTATTAGCAAAATCAAACAGAACGGATTTAGAAACATACGAAGCAATGAATTCTCTCAAGGGAATATCACCAACGAGCAATCAAGTCAACAAATTAAACAAATTCAGACGTTCAGCGTTGGCAGAAAGTGTTTTGAAACAAAAAGTTAACACCGTTCGATTTCTGATAGAGCAGGGTGCCAATCCTGACCAACAGGACAGAACTGGGAAAACAGCCTTACACCATTGTGTGGAAGGGGGTTGGTTTGATGACGAAGCATGTGCCATGCTTGACATACTAAAAGAGGGTGAAGTATGTATTCACGTCTATGACAACATGGAAGCAAGTGCGTTATCCCTGGCATCCAGTCATGCGAGTCGCAGTAGACTTTTCACGATACTCAGACTGTTAGAACTCGGGTCAAATTTAGAAACTGTAGACCGCGAGGGTAGGTCGCCAATCCACACTTGCCTTTTGCACCTACGGGGGCATCGAAAAACATCAGTTGTAGAACGAGCATGTCGACTGGCCATTCTAAGGATATATGGAATGAGTCATATTGCAAAAGACAACAACGACAAGATGCCGGAAGATCTCTGTGACAAACTAGATCAGGAAAAACAAATCCTAAAGACACACAAAGACGGCCTTCTTCCTTTACTAGAGATGATTGTGAAAGGCGCATTTGCCTCGCTGGGTAATGAATATAATTATCCTCATATCAATTACCAAGTGAACAAATTGAACGGCAAAGTACTTGATTTAATCAAATACTCTTCGAAATTCCTTCACAGAGTAGAGTTTGATAGTTGTGAAGACGATACAGATTTTTATTCCTCAAGCGATTCCCAAATTATTGAACGCACACTGAAATAAGGACACCAGTATCATTGGTTTTCAGAAATCATAGCTGTAGACTTTCTGTACAGGTTTGAAGGTTGTAACTAAAGGATGTTTAACCGGAAAACAAGTAGCACACTTCCAATGGAACTTGCTCCCTCAGTCCCCAGATTCCCCGTCCGGCGCTTAAGACCAATGTCATTTATCAAGATGCTGGAGGGCTGTCTTGATACATTTGACATTACATAGATTTGAGTTTAGATCACAATTTTTCTTGTCATTAGTTTGGTCTGTAACACTTTGACCAAAGTACGTACTCATACAAGTGTAGAAATTATAGAGGTCATGAAACAATACGAAGTAGGAAAGTGTTTCCATCGAGTATGACACCAGACAAACCTAGTGTAGTACTTCTGACAATGAATAAAAAATCCATCTAGATTGATGGCAGAGGGCACTTGCAGCCAACTATATTATTAAGAACTTATATGCTTGGTATTTTGTTTTGTACATCTGCAATATACCTACAAAAGCAAGTTTTTATTTTTTTAAATAATGGTAATAACCTTGGCTTGCTGCGTGTGAAAAATGACTTGTGTAGCTGTGTAGTTTACAAATAGGTTTGTTCCTTTGATTCTGGTTGGTTTCATTTTATGAATTGATGTAATATATTTAAATAATGTGTTGATAGAATGCATTTCCTCACAAGTTCAATTGTTCTTTTTATATAAAGACTTGTGTGGAAATTTCTTACTGTGATCAGTTATATGTGTACAGGAAAAAAAGGTTTGACAGATATATTGAAACCTGTTGACAAGTAGTCGAACCCTAACACAGTTGTTGATCACATGCTAAAGCAACTGTAAGACAGAATTGTTGCCAATGAAAAAACAAATTGTGTAAACAATATTGTTTACTAATGTGTGAAATGTGTAAAACACAAAAGTTGATCAGGAGTGAATGAACTTTAACAACAACAGTTAATGACCAGAAAAGGAATGAATTATGTTGACACACTTGATGGCCATAGGGTGAATGAATTATGTTGACACACTTGATGGCCATAGAACGAAGGAATTATGTTGACACACTTGATGACCATAGAGTGAATGAATTATGTTGACACACGTGATGGCCATAGGGTGAATGAATTATGTTGACACACTTGATGGCCATAGAATGAAGGAATTATGTTGACACACTTGATGACCATAGAGTGAATGAATTATGTTGACACACTTGATGGCCATAGGGTGAATGAATTATGTTGACACACTTGATGGCCATAGAATGAAGGAATTATGTTGACACACTTGATGGCCATAAAGTGAATGAATTATGTTGACACACTTGATGACCAAAGAGTGAATGAATTATGTTGACACACTTGATGGCCATAGAATGAAGGAATTATGTTGACACACTTGAAGACCATAGAGCGAATGAATTATGTTGACACACCCCATGACAATACAGTGAATTAATTATGTTAACACACTTGATGGCCATAGAGTGAATAAATTATATTGACACACTTGTTGACCAAAGAGTGAATGAATTATGTTGACACACTTGATGGCCATGGAATGAATGAACTATGTTAACACACTTGAAGACCATAGAGTGAATGAATTATGTTGACACACTTGTTGACCAAAGAATGAATGAATTATGTTGCCACACTTTTTGAACAGAAAGTGAATGAATTATGTTGACACACTTAATGGACATTAAGTGAATTAATTATGTTGACACACTTGATGAAAATACAGTTAATGAATTATGTTGACATACAGAGTGAAGGAATTATGTTGCCACACTTGTTGACTATAGAATGAAGGAATTATGTTGCCACACTTGTTGACTATAGAATGAAGGAATTATGTTGCCACACTTGTTGACTATAGAATGAAGGAATTATGTTGCCACACTTGTCGACTATAGAGTGAATGAATTATGTTGCCACACATTTTGAACAGAAAGTGAATGAATTAAGTTGACACAATTGTTGACCAAAGAGTGAATGAATTATGTTGACACACTTGATGACCATATAATGAATGAATTATGTTGACACACTTGATGACCATATAATGAATGAATTATGTTGACCACAGGGTGTATCATCTTTGTAAATAGTCCCAATGAATCGATAAATTGTCTGTAGAATGTTCCCAAATTTGACATTAGTAGAAAAATTGATATCTTGATGTACATTGTACTGCTGTCATGAGATTTTGTATGATAAAAGTATCCGGAGTGACAGAGGTAGACAGTACAAGTTAATACACCAAATATATCATATTTTAGATATATACAATTAGTGTATTTTGAATATATTTCATTCTGGAGTATTTATTATACATATTGTCATTATAACTCAACTTCACAATACAATATAAAAGTACAAACGATCTAGACTTCCTTCAACAAAGCTGAACCTGACAGGTAAGCGGCTCAAACTTATTGTTCAGGAATCGCAAGGTCTGAAAAGTTGGCCAGTAGGGCAGAGTCGATGTTTTCATAACGCATCGAGGTGTGAGTATGACACTTCAGGCATGGATCCATATAACCTGCCCTCACTTACCTGTGATTTACCTGTGTTTTTTGTGATAGTTGGCAAAATGAAGTGATATTGCCCGAATGAAAATAAGTGATATTATCAGATGTTGGATAACATAGAATATATACGGGGGAAAATAGGTGTTTCAAGAAAACGTGATATTAACTGGAAAGTGACATTAACAGATATGACATTAAGTGGGTTCAACTGTATATATCTTCACCGTCATATGTATATATATGCTTAACTAAACAGATGGCGTTGTCTTTAATACATATGCATTTCATATTAAGACTGGTCGCCCTGTTATTAATTAGGTCATCAAGATGGTCTGACAAAAACGTTTATATATATTTTTGTATTATACAATTAAAACTTTTCCTGTATACATGGCCTCATATTTACAATTACTTAATATTACATTACACTCCAGAAAAGCCATTTCGAGGGTGTAATGTTGTTGCTAAGACTACAGTTATGACGTCACGAAATGGGACAGCGAGTCAATTTCGTTTACATTCTTATAAATGTAGTGTTTATATTATGGTATTGCAATGCAAATGTAAACAATTGTTAGAGAACTCAGCAGGCAGCAAGCTTAATAGTAGATAATTCAACCTAACTCTGATATTATTACGAAAATGTGTTACACTGCCTTAAATAGAGGACTGTCACTCTGAGACTAGAATATGGGAATTAAAATCACAGACTTGACATAATTACCTCCCTTCCCTTATATATTGCCTTTATTTTTTTAATGGTTCAAAAACCAGAGAGCAGTATTCCATAGAGTTCGAAGTACGTGTAAGAGGAGAAACCGAAATATAGTTTTTTTTGTTAATATTGATATAAAATTGAAATTTCAGTTTAAGTTTTCAATCACATCTTATTCATATAAGGGAGGTTACTCTAAGAGAAAATAGTACTCTGTTTTTTATTGTTTCATTTATGCCTGTATATACACAATTTAGCAAATGCTACGCTATTTTAAATGTGTAGTCTTTTCATATGCAATATGTATTACCTGTAGTAGTAGACAATCAACAAATATATGCAAATTTGTTGTTTATAATTTTGTATCTTATGTATGCTTCAGAACCATCTTGTATCTGAAATCCAAATATATGTTTTTTGCCGGGACATTTCACAGGCAATTAAAAAAAAGCATTTATGTCAGAACTCTGCAGAGCTAAATATACATTGCAGAACAATTTTGTGTTTGGCCATTGAAATGAATTTTCCACCAAAAATGATGAAATTTGTACTGTTTTCTAATGTCACAACAGGAAATACATGGAGAATAAGACTAGGTAACCCGTCATTGTAAATTTTGGTCATTTCAAGTAAACGGTGTCATGTTCCCAAATGAAAACAAGGCAAACAACAACGGAACCACCAAGCAATCGAATTTTTAGGTCCTTATTCTGTTTTTTTTTTTTTTTTTTTGTTTTCAAACTCTTTCAGTTCCTCATTGGGGTGTTATGGTTTGTTATGCGGCATAGTTAACAATAATGATATATTAATACGCTTTTAAGTACTACGTTTCCCGAAGAGTCATTTCACATAAATAATGAAATCCGGAACTGTTGAGATCTGTCTGTAAGCAGGTCTCGAATATATCTATAAAGAGCAGCCAATGCACTTATATGGTGCATCAGACAATATGGTATCTTTTAATAACCATTTGAAGACATTGTTCGTAAACTTCTTAAGATTATAAGAAGGAAGAACAAACTGATTGATTTTCTTCTCAGTGATGTAAAGATGGTGTACTAATGGCGATAACCACGCGTTAAACAGTGACGAACCAAGTTGTATCTTGAATACACATAATCTCCTTACTTATATAACATATAACGCACACCTACATTAAGTTTGCTGCATCGATTGAAATTTAATCTTTAGACAAATCATGGAACCGTCAATACTAGCACATCTTGAACAACAATAATAATAACGTCTTTTTTTTAATTTCAAACTTTTTTTTCCTTTTGCGTATGTAGAATATATTTCATTCAAAGTAAACTAGTTTGAAATATCAGTCTCAAATAAAATTGTGACTTTTGAATAATTGAAATAGACATACATATCTTTGAAGTAAGTTTTCATTTGAAAAAATATATTCACTTTTATAGTTTATAGTATGTAAATCAACTTTAACATTACATACAATCAGAAGTGTGATTTCAAATCTTGCTACTCATCACAAGGTCGTGGCATAACCAACAGTCCATATCTAGATGTATTTGTAATACACAAAACATGGCTTTTGAGATCGGAAATTCTGCCAATCTCTGTGTAGTTTCTCCATAAAAAACTACATAAGACTTTCAGATTTTATAGGTTAACACTTTTAAATGAGCATAAAAAATCTTTGACATGAATGACCCAGTGTAGCATGGTATTGTAAAGTGTGACGATTTTATTCAGTTAGAGTTATCTCCCTTCATGTAACGTTTTGTATACGCCCTGT